CCGTTCTGCAGCTGCCACAGAAACACCTGTTTAAGCAGTGGAACCAGTGACCTTGGAGCTCAGCATGTGCTTCTGAGGCCAAAGAACTGGACATGGGCATATCTCATCATTAAGAAACGGGCCAAGATTCTTTGCTGTAGAGCAGCTTGGCTGTCTAATGTGAGGTTTTAGCACTGTTGCTGGTGGTACATCTGCACTACACCTAGGTGTTTATATGTTCTCTCCATTGTAAATGTTGGGGGTTTTTCTGTTTTTTGTTTGCTTGTTTTTTAAACAATTTTGTTAGGGATTTCTGTTGTGTTTGCTTCTTAGAAGGTGGAGGTGACACGTAGGAAAAGGATTTTGTCAGAGCTTAGGAAGATGAAGTACAAAATCCTTGTGCATGCGCAAAAATGCAGGTCTACCTCAGACTACCTTCACATCTAGAGGGCACGCAGAGGCTGGGAGGGATAAATTAAACCAATTAGGAAGCATTGTCCAGTTGCTGAAAGAGGCAGCTTCTTATTAACTTAGTTATTTATAGGAAGACTAACTGGTTTCCTCTTGTTCCTTCCTTTTAAGGCTCACAATAATAACAGCAAAGTGAAAGGTCCTGGGATGTTGATGGGAAGATGCCTCTGAGGGCAGGGAGGATTTTGAAAGCAACAAACATGATGCTTAAGTGTCACAATAAATTTAAGCATGTTTACAATTCTGTCTTCCTACGTCTTTACTGAAGTCAGTGCGGTTCTCGGCAATTTTTGGTTGGGAAAAACCTTTGACCTTGTCTTCAGGAGATGGGACTTTCCATCTGGAGTTACGCCCTCTACTAGAGGTAACAAGGTATTGGTTTCCTGAGAACTGGTATTCAGAGGCTCTAGTGCCCTTCATAAATCTGGCACAGTGTCTGCAGAGCTAAAGCAGGGAACAAACTGTTACCTTTATTTCATGTGGGTAACGTGATGTTTACTCATGATGTAACGTGGTGTAGAGTACTTTGGTTCAAGCTGGGGGTGGGAGACTCTTCATATAAATAAAACTGTGCTCGTGATTTCCACTGGAGCAGATGATACATTAGCCCTCTATTTTGTTCAGGCTCTCATGTACATTATGTGTTCCCTAGCAGTGCGTCAGCTATATATGATTTACTGAAAAACACAGTAAGTGCCTATAAGGATACATACTCCTGATGATAAAGTTATTAGTTGGAAATATATTATCTTAAAATTGAGGCATAAAGACCAGTTGGACTTGTTTAGATCCAAAATGTGCTGTGCTTTCTGCGAATGCAGCAGCTTGTTTTTCTTGAACTCTTAATGATGCAATACCAAAATAGCAAAGGCATAGCCTGCCTTACTGTTTCTGTCAAGCATTCAGCGCCAGAGCATGTGCTACTACAGGTGGGTAGATCTGGAACAGGCATGAGCACCTAGGAGAAAGATAGGAAAGAACCCCCTGCAGTATTTCACTTGACTGCTGCCATTCAAAAAATAGCTGTTAGATGTTGAGAGTAGCTCCTGCCCTTTGGGAATAAAAAGTTACTTTCAAATGCCCACACAGCAGAACGTTTCATGTTAGATTATAAATTGTGATTATTCCTCCAACTGAGCAGTTAATCATTTTTAACTTGTAATCTCAGTAAAGTCAAAGTACTGTAATGAAGGAGCATCTAAGGTTTGGATGATCTTTGCAGCACTTGCTTTATTCAGCATGATGTGTGATTATCCATATTAAGAATATTGTTCAATGATTAAACCCAGCAAAGGTGAAATCACTCCTCTCGGTTAAGATTTTTGGCATCATCTGTACCAGTTGTGCAGGTGGGTGTTGAGAGCAAGTCATTGACATATCAGAGGTGGACTTTGTAAAGGTAGAAAGAGAACAAATGATAATTGGCATGAATTTTAAATAAAATGTTTGGGGCTTTTTTATATCAGCAAGTATTTATTTCTGTAGTTTTTTTGTAGTGTACTTTATAAGCTGTTGAATGGTTCATATCCTCAGGTCAAGAGTTTCCTTGATTGCTCTACTCGAACATTAGAAAGTAGAGAATTTTACTGCTCTAACCTAATAGCAATATATGCCTGGCCCAGCTTGTAACCAGAGGAAGTATTTGTAGCCTGGAGGACAAATCTGTTTTTTTGTCTGGGTGTGACAGGTCAAAGCTGATGATTTGTTGGATGTGTCCTACAGAAGAGATCTGTGCCGCGTACAGAGCATTACTGGGCACTTTGTGTCTGCTGTGTGGCCTGTAGAAGATGCCCATTTTGTTTCCAAGGAGGTTTCTCTCCCTTTACAGATTAAACATCATTTGGGGATTTTTTTTGCAAGAGGCTGGTGTAATAAGCACTGCTTACCATGTCTGGAACTGTAATTCTGCAGCTACTGTGTGTGTGTGGTGGTTTTTTTTTTTTTTTAAGCCCTAGTCAGTACAAAGACTTGGAGGCTTTATCTTGATTGCAGGATAAAATTTTCCCAAAACAGTCTTATCTGGCTACATGCTCATGAGCTGAATCTTTCATGGCATAGGGCTGTCTGTGTAGCTGAGGAAGGTTGCTGGTTGTTTTTCCTTTCTTCCCAGAGGCAGGCGTTTGGAACATTCTAGGAATATAAAGTGTTTCTTTTATGCACAGTGTGCTATTTTAAGCCATTCAGGGAATAAAGCAACACCAGGACACGATGCATGGAAATCTCATCTGGAGGAGAATCAACTCATCTGAACAAGACATTCAATACAGCAAAGTCCTTGCTTGAACCGTATCCTGAGGATTTATACTGGGGACATAACTTATGCACCCTGTTGACATTCTGAGAATTGTTTTGTTAATTATGCTGTTTGCCTCCAATGCCACGCTGACAGCATTAACTCCAAGCTGTTAAAACTGATGCAGATACTAGTTCTTTGTGGTGAATATCAGAGGATTACATGTGCTTTCCCAGAAGTATGTGCATAGTAAAGGCATAAATTAACTGGATTATCAGAATAGATGGGTGGAAGGAAAGGAGTGGGCTAGGAGGGCAAGCACACAGATGATGCGGAAAGGAACTTGCCAGAGTGATTAGAAAATTGTATGTTGAGATGCCACTCTAGACCAAGCAGCTTGTAGTTCATGAACAGTAGCGGAATTTGTGTTCCAAATTTGTAAAATGTTATTGTGAACTACTAGTTTAATGCTCACAAATTTGAAATAGATGAGGATGGAAAACCAAGTACAAAATGGGGTCCAGGGCTGGTAGGTAAATGCATAGAGAGCTAAGGAAATCCAGTGCTCTTTGTAGAACTCCTGGAAATTTGCTATTTTTATTTGAATCTGCTGATGATTCAGGTGTTAGTTATACAGGCTTAAGTCAGTATTGTATGTAAGCAGTCAGTAGTGAAAGGGTGACAGATGAGAATCTACAAGAGGTGTTGAGCAACACAAGATGCATCTAACAAAACGGAGGAGGATGCACTGGAGCAATCTCCTCCGGAGTAGCAGTGACAGAAAAGAAGACTTGGTTCTGAGCCAAAATGATCAGAGGCTGAGAAGGTCTCTGGGAACAGTGTCATTCTTGATGCAAGTGACAACTTCAGCTGCTATGTAGCTAGTTCCATAAACAGCTTAATGACTTTATTCAGGAGTCAAAGCTTAAAGGGGATAAAAGGCCTGAACACAAAGCTTTCTCTAGCTGACGTTTTAAATGTAGGGATTGCTCCTAGTGAAGATTAACTTTTTCTTGCAGCATTGAAGAGCAAGGAGCATGAGCTTAAAGAAGAAACTCATTTGAAGCATGCTTTTAAATCCTACTGCCAGGCTTGGTGAAGCATGGAGTTTCTTCTGATTTCTTCAGATGTTTGCATCTGAAAACCAGTGAAACATTGTGTTTGGGATGATGCGTTGAACAGAATCCTACAGGCTGCAGATACCTTGTGACTCTAGCAAGCAGTGCTTTATTTATTTATTTATTTTCCTCCCTCCTCTTCTACAGAAATCAAAGGATAGGTGTTTTTTTTTTTTTCCTTCTTCCACCCATGGAAAAATACTTAAATTACAATTTCACATTAACATCAAAGAGTTTTTGACTCGTGGTATTTTCTAAAGAAAATCACAAACACTGCTTCCTCAGGAATAACATACTTAAACACTTGTGTAAACAAACAAAAAAAACAGTTTCTTGCCATTAGGTTCAGTTGTAGTAAACGCCCTTATAAAAACGGAAATCTTTAGTTAAGTCCAATGACAATTAGAACCCTTGCATCTTATCTGGCCCAGCAGGCTTTTCTGAGGCAAAGCTCTAGCTGGTTGTTCATAACAATAATTAGTGTCTGGAAGCCGTGTTTTTTCTTTCTGTGCTATGTGGTTATGGTGGGAGGCATGGGTTAAAGCAAGATACTGAAAAAGCACAAGAATAGAAAAAGTGAAAAGTGTCCCGCTAACCAAAAATATGTTGATGTTTGATTTTTTTTTAATATAACCTGTGTAATCTAGCAGAATAGCTTTGGTTGTTGCTATGTCTATAAACCCTTTACATTCAAGTGCTGAAATGATGAAGATTTCTGTTGCTATGTTTTCGGCCTACTGGGTCCTAATCCCCAATGGTTTCTTCTCTTTCTCCAGTTTCCTGCTTCTCACAGGAAAAACCCATCCAAGGATATGTCCGATTAGGTCAGCAACCTCTGGGACGTGGGTTCCTCTGCTTTTACAGGAAGAATTCCAAGTCCTAAGAGAACATGGGGCCACCAGATGATCTGTCATGTTGCTGCTGCTGTTGGTGCTGCTGTTTTGTCTTCTCAGTTGTCTCTCTTCAGTCCATACACATGCTCATCATTTCTTGAGGTCTCCTTCCTCCCACTAAAGCTTGGGAAGAATCTCCCTTGCTGATGCCACAACTATCCCCCACCATCCTAACTATTTTTCAATAATGCAGAACAGTCACGTGTTAAGTTTTTATTTATACTTGACGATGCTGTGATTTGACAAGCCCGTGCAACTACCATTCGCTGAAACTGTCTTCTGCTCACGTTGTCTTTTGCAGATGCGGAGGAACAGTCGGTGCCATCTTTACTTGCCCTTTGGAGGTAATAAAGACGAGGCTTCAATCTTCAAAGCTGGCCTTCCGGGCTGTCTACTACCCCCAAGTCCAGCTGGGGACCATCAGTGGGGAAGGAATGGTCAGGCCAACGTCGGTATCGCCCGGGCTCTTCCGTGTTCTCAAGTGAGTGTTGCTCCTCCTGTCACTGAGCGTTACTTGACACCAGTGAGCTAAATTTGGATTCCTTTGTGCAAACATGGAATGCAAATTTTGCTCCAGACTTGCACCGGAAGGATGTCTGTCAGTTAGGCTTATCCATTCAGCACCAGAATGATAAATTATTCTTTTAAAAATAGATTCTTAGGGTTCCTGGCTCTTTCTTTGAACTTACACAGAAACTTGCCTTTGGCACTCAAAGGCTTCCCAAGGAGAATTGTTTTGTCTGAGTATCTGGAAGTGTTATTTTTAAATAAGCTCTTCAGATTTAATCTTTCTGGTAGTTATTACATGCCAGGGATCAAGAGTTTGTAGCATATTCTGTGTATTTACATGCATCTCAGCTTGCTGGAACTACCATAAATAAAAAACACCTTTCCTCCAGAATATTAACACAGGAGTTATCATCTTTGTCTTTTACTGGAAATCTGCTTAATTTACTGTAATCTTTGAGTAGTGGGTCTTTGCACAAGAACTGAAGGACTGAATGAACCATATACCCTTATCTTTCTTCCCTGCAGCCATTCCCAAATTGCTTTAGGTAGTTAGAGGTGCTTGTTTCTGCTTGTGCTATTTACTTGGTTGATGAGGGAAGCTTTAATTGTGCCCATTCCTGTCTTGCAACTCTCATTCTTTGGGGTTTCATATAAAAGTGAAACCCTATAGCCTTCCTTTCACCTTAAAGACGCGCTTTAACAAGGGTTCTACTTTTCTGCACTTGGTGATATGTGTCAGCCTCCTCTGATCTCTTTGAAGCTGGCCCTGCTTTGAACAGGTAACCTTCAAAGTTCCTGTTCAACCTAAATGATCCCATATATTTTAAGCATTGCTTGTCTGCACTCGTGTGGGTGATCTATAACTGAAACTTTTGGCAGTGGAGGAAGGACACTTTGCAACACTAGTCTCTAAAATATAATGTCTAATTGGGATCTTGTGAGCTCTTGTCTGTTCCTTAGACACATCTGATTTAATTAGCTGACTCCTGCTTGCTGTTAGTATGTTGCTTTAGGCAATTATTGTGCATCAATCCTATCCATGTCTGTGCTACTCATGAATTTGAGGTCTTTTCTGTAGTTGAGACTGCAGTAGTTGCTGTTCCCTTTTCCAATGTGTATTGAGTGAGATGCTAAATCATCTAACTTGATGGCTCTGCTGTAGAGCCATCAGCTACTCTGAAGGCCAAATCTCTTTTTACCAAAGCTGCATAAACTTATGATTCAGGCCTCAAGTAAACAGAATGAGGAGTTGATTTAGATCATTGTGCATCCTAGGGTGATGCAGAGAGGTCCTGCTTAGATCAGGTAGTAGAAATGCCAAAGATAATACTGACTAGCAAAACAGGTTGAGAGATTTATGTAAGACCAACACATTTGGCAGCTTGCCGGGTGAAGCTGCACAGTTATGTAACAGCACAGTGCTCACTCAAATTCTCTGAAGAACTGGATGGCTAGAATCACCCTGGGACTTGAGTCTCTCTCAAATAACATTTCTTTCCCTTGCCAAACACTCCTTTGTCTACTCAGACATGAGTCTAGAACAATCCATGATTCAAAGTGGAAGGCAGTGCCTTAATTTCTTATTCTCCTATTCCTTTCCACCTTCTCACTGTGCAGCATTGAACCTGAAGCAGTTTTAACTACAGGAACATGATAACCTTCAAGGTATAAGGCTCTTAATAACTACAAGAACATGATATCATCAAGCTATGAGGCTGTCTCCCCATCTCAGTCTCTGAGGCTGTCTTCCTGGGAGAGAGCAAATGGGTTAACATTGGCTCAGTCTTTTAATGCATTTATTAAGATTATTAAATTTGGTGGCTGTGATCTTGATATCATTTTACCTCAGGAATTGCTCAGCTGCATGTATCACTAAGCTCTCTACCTACAATCTTCAGAGCGCTAAGAAGTGAGAGCAAAATAATCATACTCTTTGTCATTCCATTGCGGTCAGTGTCCTTGAAGTACAGATAACTCTATTGATTATAGTCTTTCTGATAAAATACATTAAAAACGAGGAGTGAGTAAGTGTCTCGCCATTTACCGTCCTCTACCCCTTTCTCATCCCTGGGCATATATGCATTATCAAGCAATGGATGTGACTTAGGCTCTGGTTTAGGAAAATGGCACGGCTAAAGAAGCTGCCCTTAGAACCCTGTGTGTAAACTGTTCCATAAGAATTAAGGGGTGTTGAATGTAAAAGCCCCTTTGCTACTGTAAATAGAAAGAAAGTAGGTACTCAGGAGAGCAAGTTAAGCCTGCTGCAGAGAAGAAAGCACCCCAGAAGGACAGGCTGTTTTTGTCTAATCCGTTTAAAATTCTGATGAGTCACCCCAGCTGGAAGCTGCAGTCGTGACTGTTAAGTGACAAAGAACAAGTAGTTGGTGGATCTGTCTCCTTGGAGATGCTCAGCCCTGGAGCTTACACAGAAAGTTCAGCTCTGCTGAAACTGAAAAAGTGTTTCAGAAGCTCTTACATCCTCTTCTTTCTACTGAGCTTGTTTTTGGAACAAATCTCTGGGGAACATTCCTGACAGTGCTAATGACCTAGAAAGCAAACACTGAAAAACAGGTAGTTCAAACACATGCATGTGAACTACCCCTGGATCCTAGTATTATCTGGGTTTTCTTGCATGATTTTCACATGATGCCTCTTATTTCAATTAAGAGGGCTACAGCCCGCTTGTGTGCACAGAAATCCTGGTGGTTACTGGGCTGTAGCTGACAGTCACTTGTAGATGAACTTGGCTTTATTGGTGTTTAGCTGTTGATCTAATCCTTATAAATATTTCTCCTGTTAGTAGTGCAAAGAACTTGTGCACAAGGTAAGTCTCTTTTGGTGAGGCACTTGAGCAAGGAAAACTGCTTTGGTAACCTCGACTGAAGCAATTGCAAAACTGTAGGAAAACACTGTTTGGTCTCCTCTTCCTTAGACCAGATCATGAAGGCTGCTGACAGCCATTCACAGTTGTGCGTTTGGGATTTTTTTGGGAAGGATGTTTGTGAATTCTTGAATGTCCTCAAAACCCAAACAATTGTCCCTAAACTACCTGGAGAAACATAGACTATAGTGCCAGCTGTCACCTGCAACTTTCACTCTGGGCATTGGGGAGCAGAAAAATGACAAAATAATAGTAAAGGGCCACGCTGTACAGGAAAAAAAAACCCACCAACAAAAAACTTCTGAACCACTTAGAAAATGCCAAAAATACTTTTAAACAGAGTCAGGTGGTCTTGCATTCTTACAAAAACTCTTTAACCAGGTTCTGACAGCTTTCAGAGAATGGGAATTACAGCCCTGTGGCATTTGGCACGCACAGATTTGCCTGTAGTGCACTGAATTTTACTGCTTAGTGGCTTTTATTCATTAGTGTCTTATTTGGATAATTTGAAATTAAATTGTGGTCTAAGAGTTAACAGGTTCACAATTAATACTTATTTTTTTAGCATAGTTCTTTTGCTTGATGTGTGCAGGAACAAGAAAAAACTACTAACCCATATAGATTTTTTTTTTTCTTTTTTTGCTGTTTGTTTTCATTTTAAGGTCAATTCTGGAAAAAGAAGGACCAAGGTCACTCTTTCGAGGGCTGGGTCCAAACTTGGTTGGAGTTGCACCATCAAGGTAAATAGTTAAACTATTGCTAGAGGACATATTTAAAGGCACCAACCCAGGTATTACATCACAAATGCAGCATAAATAAATGCACTGTATAAACAGGACAAAATTATCCTGTCTTTAAATTGTGGAGCAGTTTCAGACTGCGTGGTGTGTGTATATATCAACAAATGATTATAAATCCACTTTAGATTTAGACATCTGTTTTTCAGTGACATTTATGAATTGCTAATATATTCAGCACCTATTTTTTGTCAATATTCCTTTCTTCTAACTGAAAACCTGATCAAATAGTGTGAAAGTCAATGCCTGTCTTCCTACCAATTAAACCTGTATCTGCCATATCTACCATATTCTATTGGGTTGTCTAAATTTTGTGCATTTACCTTAGCAACTCCTTTTGATCTTTGCTTTCTGCTGTCAGTGGAACTCACTCTTTATTTATGCTATATGATGCTGTCCTTAAAATAAAAAAAAAGAGGTTTTCGCCTGGTATTAAAAGACATTTTTAACATTTTTAAAGGCATTTAAGTGGCTTTTGCAGTGATCCAATGAATTGGTCATTTCCTTGGGAAAACAGAATAACGTAGATGCAGGAAAAAAAAAACTGTAGATTAATGTTTGCATTTCCCTAATAGGATCTACCAGTTACCTGTGAAAACACAGTGTTTAGCAAACACTTCAGGAGTGGCCTGAGGCCAGCGGAGATGGGGGTACCCTTCTGGGACTTGATTGCCTCAGCTCTTCTCAGATGAAAAGCTGAATGGGTGTGGGGAGGAAATGGGGACAAATACTCTTAAATACTTTATTTATATATAAAAAAATATATAAATATATATATACACACACACACATATATATACATATAAAACATATTTTATATATACATATATATATATATATATATATTTGGAAGTCTTCCAGGCACCTAGTGTTTGTTTTCCACACATACGTATAATTGTCACGTTCCTGGCAGAGCTGAAGAGCTCTATACCAAATAATACCAAAGTTCATTAGATCTGGAAAACAGTCAGATGTTCTTTGCCAGAAATTGAACCAGTTAAAAAAAAAAAATGGGGTCAAAGGGTGATGGTGCTCATGTGCTCCCACTTTGGCATCATAGCCTGGGAGATAAGATGCCCACCTGGAAGTGGGGAATCCTGTTTCCGTACAGGTAGTCTTTGCAGTAGATACCTGAATCCAAGACTGCTTTTCATACAACTGACTCATGCTCTTTTTTTTGTGTTCCTTCATACTCCTTAAGCTTGAAATAAGGTACTTGGTGGCTCTACTGGAGTTTCCACCAACTTTTCCCTTTCTCTCGCATTTTTCTTCAAGGAGTTGTGCTTTGAACATAGTTCAGGCAGCTTCTCACACTGACTGTTGAAGCTCCTGCTCTGAGCTCCTGTCTGTTCATGTGTATTAGAGATTTACACAGTCATGGGGAGGCCTGTTTGGTGAATGCTTTTTATTGGGAGGAGGGGGGCTGCAGGAGGGGAAGCTGTGAGAGGGAAAGATGGCAACATATCTAATTTGATGTCCTCTGTATTAGCTCGCTTTCCCCCCTCCCTCCTTTTCTTGGGCAGGGCTGTCTATTTTGCATGCTACTCCAAAGCCAAATAGCGTTGTAATGGTATCTTCGTGCCCAACAGCAACATTGTGCACATTTGCTCTGCGGGTTCTGCAGGTATGTATTAGTAATTCATCTTTGAAATGGTTCCTGTTCTTCAGCCACCCACCAGCAGCCTGTGCACGCATCGGTATCTGTGGCTCTGAGATATCTCTCAATGCTGTAGAGTGTGTATTCAAAGCTGTTATTGCCACAAGACCTGTTCTCTTACTCTCAGAAGTTGGAGAATCAGTGGAATAAGGCAGACACTGGAATTTTTAGTCAGCCTGTGAAGGACCTAGGTTCATAGGCCAGTCTTTACTGTGAGAGTTCTGGATAATTTTGGTATACGAATGAGTTCAGAGGCCAGTATGTGGCTCATTCTGGAAATGTGTACTTGGTCTTGTACGTGCTAGAAGTTATTAGAATCTATTGCAATGTGCAGAAAGGGTTTCTTTTTAAGAAACATGTCTAGCAATGATCCCTATAAAAGGCTGAGGTCAGGAGAGGTGATTTTACTTCACAAAACAAGAATATGTAAAAGACTCCTAATGAGGCAAAAGTTCAGAGACTATTTAAAAATCTGCTAGGCTGGAAAACAGTCCTCAAACAAACGAAATGGGAGTGCTTGGCAAGCTTGTCTAGGGACTGTTAAGGAAAACTCTTCTGAAGAACTAAGTTGGTGCTTCATATCATTACTAAAAAAGTAAATCTGTTTTTTTGTAATATCAAAACAACCAAGTATCAGTACAATCCAAAGGGGGTGTTATAATAAAAGGCTTTGCATGTGTTTGTTGCATAATTTAGTTGTAGGAAACCTTGATTATATCTTCAAAAAGCCATTCAGAAGTATTTGAGGGGCAAAGGGAAGGCATGTACAGACTTCACAGAAGAGCCTAATACCATGTATACATATATGTGTGTGTATGCATTATATATGTATATTATTGTTCAACACTTAATGCTTTTTTCTCACTGAAATGTTGCAGTAATATTTCACTAACCAGTAACAAAATATATCAGCAAAAGTTTGATACTGTTTTAGCCAAATTGTTATGGTTTAATGTAGTTTTTTTTTTCTCCTGCTATGGGGAAAATAATGTTTTTCTCTACGCTAGAGAGAGTGTGAGATCTTCACTAGTTAAAGCTTCAGTTACCAGAGAGATCATTAAAAACAATTTCTTCAAACTACCCTCTTTAGATACGGGTATCTGGGTAGGTTTTGTTCATGAGATGGCTCAATGGCACCACCTAGAGCCTTGGGGTAGGGTGGGGAGAAAAACACTACCAATTTTCTCCATGGATTTCTTCTCATCTTTTACTTTACTGTAAAACATAGTCAGTAAATAAGATACCTGGTCTACAGCAGGCTTCAGGTGCATGAACTACCTATTGATACCAAGTGCAATAGCTACAAGAAATCGCAAAGGAAGAGGTCAGTGCCTTCTGAAGTTTAATGCAACAGCATTCTCTGGCAAGAAAGAGGTTGTAAGTCATAAACCTGCATGTCTTTTGAAACCTCAGGATAGAGCAAGTAAATAGAACTGTGCAGTGGAGGTTCATATTGGTCCATGTTCTTTTTATATTTGCTAAGATTCCTATTTTCCACTGCAGTTCATCAGCCTAACTTGAGCTATATTCTTTTTCTTCTCTCTTTTAGCCTTTGTCACAAATTCCCTGATGAATCCCATATGGATGGTGAAAACCAGAATGCAGCTAGAACGGAAGTAAGTGACTGAGAGACACTGGATGGTTAAGGGAGGCTCTAGAAAGTCAAACTTTTGACCTTTTTACTCATGGCTCTTTGGACCTTGGTAGATTTTGCTATTGTTTCCCTGACAATCAGTCTATCGTTTGCCTGTCCGGACTGTGGTAGATTTTGCTATTGTTTCCCTGACGATCAGTCTATCTTTCAAGCCATCCTTTTGCCTGTCCGGACTACAAGTTAGAGTTCTGGATGTTGTACTTTCCAGAATTACGACTGAGAAGAATGTATAGGTTGTTGAGTTGGACTGAGTTTCTGTTTTCATCATAGATCTTAAGCCAATTGGGTCATAGCATTAATTCTCCTCAGTTCCCTGATTATAAAATCTTCTGTACCTCACGTATTGATGGTGCAGATAAGTACATCAAAACCTGAAAGGTGCTTTGATACCGCAGTAATAGAGACTAAGGAAGTGTCAGATGAGCTCAGGTGGGAGCCTGAGCAGGAGGTTGCAGTCTGTCCCACTTAGCAATACAGCTAGCACTGGCCTTGGATCCTACAGATGTGTTACTGCAACAAATGATGGTATAAATACACAGCAAGCTAGCTGTGAACAGAAAGGGTGATGTTTCTTAATATTCTAATGAAGCAGCATGTGTTTTGCTTCCCAAAACATTCTCAAGATCACAAGATTCCATTGCAGTAGTTTCTCTTGCATCCTTCGGGATTGTGTTGCTGTTAACTACACATTCTGGAAGTAGAGAGGGAATTGGACAGCAATAGATTTTAGGTCCTGTGATCTGTGCTCACTGGTGGATATTGAAGCAATGAGGGACTCTGTTATTAATGGAGATTCCTTTCTGCAAGGACATGCTAGGTGAGATAAGAAGGATCCTTTAAGACACTACAATCTGTAAATAATAAGCATTAATTCTAGCACTTGAGGGTAGTGAATTTGAATTGAATGCTGCCTCTTAAGCTGAAGGATCATTTTTCATATAGGAGACCTGTCTCTTGGCCTGCTGAAAATGGCCTTAAAGGGAATTGCCAACTAAAAATGTCTGTTTGGTGCTCGTTATCTTATAAGCAGTGGTGAACTGGGACAGACTGGATGGGACTGGAGCCTTAAGCATTACCCTGAGTATGTGTTAGTGGATTGGAAAAGCCCAAGGTATGCTCTTAGCATGATGCTACTGCTCTGTGCAGTGTTCCTGGGAGATCTTTGCATTTGGCTAGTTACAAAAGCTATACTGAAAGCCATGAGGGTTTTTTTATATATATATTCTAAATTGTATTCATCATGTGCTCTGTTTTGTGTTTGTTTTCTAGAGTCAGGGGTTCAAAGCCAATGAATGCTTTGCAGTGTGCCAGATACGTTTACCAGACAGAAGGTATCCGTGGCTTCTACAGAGGCTTGACTGCGTCCTATGCTGGGATTTCTGAGACCATTATCTGCTTTGCTATTTATGAAAGCTTAAAAAAGCACTTAAAGGAAGTACAGCTGCCCCCTTCTCCTGCTAATGGGACCGAAAGGAACTCCACAAACTTCTTTGGACTGATGTTTGCTGCTGCTGTTTCCAAGGGCTGTGCTTCCTGCATTGCTTATCCACACGGTATGTTAACTTCTCTGTTTGAGTGCAGTAGAACAGCTCTTCAGCTGTTCCCTCTTGCTTCAGCTGAATGGTGATCAATGCCAAAATGCGTATTACAGTGGCGTATTTGTACATGTTAGTATTTTCAGAACTGGTCCAATTATTCTTGATTAGCCACATTGTTAATGATTGGGACTTCCTGATTTAAAAACAGCTCAAAAAAATAAAAAAAGAGGATTGGATGCCTTTGACTTCAGTTCTCATTGGTAACGTGCCTAGCTGTGTCCCCACTGTACTTGGGACTCTATGTATTTCAGTTTATAGAAGGGGTAAACGGTAGTGCTATATAGTTTGTGGAAGTGTTTGTTGTAGAAGGTGAAGGTTTGTGCTTTGACAGGAAAAGGGTAGTGGAAAACACTTGTAGCTTACATCTTGTGAGTAAGATTAGGTGTGAATGTCTTCATGGTTATACAGAAAGAGGCATTAGCTATACAAGCAAACTTAGTTCTACAGATGCTTGAACGAGCAAATAATCCATCCATTCCCCATGGAAAGGAACTCACCTTTAACTTCCAGTCTCGCCCAAAGGGTGATGTGTACAGGATTTCCAGGCTGAAAGTCCTGTCTGGCAGACAACACCAAGGAAGATTTGGGTGACCTGGGGCAGTACAAACTTTTTCCTGGTCTCGGCACACTTCTCATTGGGAAGGTATAAGTCCTATTAACTCTAGGCTCTCTCTCACTTTTCTGCAGAGGTCATACGGACACGGCTGCGAGAAGAAGGCACTAAATACAAGGCTTTCATTCAGACGGCCCGGCTCGTGGCACGTGAGGAGGGCTACCTTGCCTTCTACAGAGGACTCTTTGCCCAGCTCATCCGGCAGATACCAAACACAGCCATTGTGTTGTCCACCTACGAGTTGATCGTGTATTTGTTAGAAGACCATGCAAAGTAGCAGAACCAAGACTACTCTTACGGACTGTAGACCAATTCTTTCATTGAACAAATAGTCCTTTAAGAGACTGATGATGCAGGTGGCAGCGCTGGTGAAAACCGATGAGTCTCTGATTACCTGCTGGATATTTTCCTTTTGGATTCATGCTTTCTGAAAGGTCTCAACTCATTAACGTTAATAGTTAATTAACTTTTTTTAACTTAATGATAAAAATTAAATAGCTACTAAATTAAATTACACTATTTAATTTAAGTATATGTTTGTCCTTTTCCTTAAGCACAGCCGTACGTGGTCAAGGAATGTACCTTGTATTATCAAGTGATCTCTTGGACTGATGTTCATTAAAACTATATTAAAATAGAAGAGGAACTGGTTTGGAAATGTGAAACTTGGGCTTCCTACCACTGGTGTCCTGTTGCTTTTTAACACTATAATAGCCCAAATAACTTTGAGAGTTCTTCACTGTTGTTTAAGGTGCATCCTATTCATTGCTATAGGACCTTCCTGGGGTGTTCAAGTGGGACAACTCTGCAACGCTGTAGTTAGAAGTGTTCATGCCAGCATCTCTTAGAAAAGCTACCTGCACTGGCAACATCCCTGAAATATAGTTGTGGGAGGCTCTTCTGTAAAACTTAATTACTTAGAGTATTGTGCACAGCAATGGACTTAGATACATGTTTGAGTTATTGTGTGTAAATTAATCTTTTATGATAGACTGTTCTTAGATGAGAGGATCTGATAGGACCCCAGCTTTAAGGAGTATGAATCCCTTTTTGGATTCTGCTTTACAATATGACGTTTGAGAATAATCACTTTTGATTTGATATCCTTTGTGGAGCAGTGCTTCTGGTGAATGAGATGTTATCTCATGGATGTGCCACTGGAGTTGAGACAAACACCCCAAAATCCATGGTTTATGTAAATAGTTTTCTTACATCATTAGTGACTTCAATATTGAAGGAAAGAAGAAGGATCTGCTGGTCTAGAACAGAACAACTTCTCTATTTGTTCCTCATGGATAGAGTATCTGCCCTCTGCTCCCCAGGCACAGTATCAAAGGGGTATTCTTCAACACTAGTCATGATGAAGTTCTTGCCTTGCAGTTATAAACAAGATGCACTGCATACCTGAGAGAATTATTAATTTCACAAACATTAAAATGTGCTTCTCTCTTTAGTACAACACCTATTGCAGCAACTCTTTGTGATGAAAGTATTGCTTATGTTTAGTTCCTGATAGTAAAATACTTAAGAAATTAAGGTTAGATTTGTGCTTTGCTCATGTTATGCTCTCCTATTTATTAGTGTCATTTGCTTTGACAGCTGAGACAAATGCTGCAACAGCCGAGCCCAGCTTCAGCCTTCCCTGCTGTTGAACTGAACAAAAAGCCTCTCATGACTTGAGCAGGTGTTGAGTTCTTGAGCAAAAGCAAGTGTTTGTGGACATCCCTGACCTCAAGACTTGTACACAGCGGAGGTGATGTTTGGAGTCAGACTGTGCAAAGCATTAGGAAGCAGCCTAGTAGTGAGTAGGGCTCTCTTGTAAAAGAAAAAAAATTCAGGTTATTATTTTGTTGTAGAAATGTAATTAGTTGATAAATGGATTCAAACCTTCACTAGAGCCTAGCTGGTACTAGGTACCTACACTGGGACTTGGTGTCATGTATGACATCAGTGTGATGGTGAAACACACTGCAAAGAGGGAGTAGGGAGTGTGTGTGCATACACCTCATAATGAGGCAAAAGGTGCAAAAAATAACAGATTTCTACAATGTCTCACTAAAAAACATAACACTTTACCCTTAAGCTAAAATAAGAAAGAGTTGAGTAACTAAAACTGAGTATGATATTTTTTAAAAATAGAGATGATGAGCAGCAGAAGCTTTAAAGCCTCCTCACAGGAGTCAGAAACTGTCATACATGCTGGTACTATTTTTGATAACCAGGCCATTTGTACTGCTGCTTTGTAACTTTTTTCTGAGATTTGCCTTCTTAAATTAGTGTTTCCTCTGTACTTAAAGTACTATGGCTTCAGTCAAATGTGTGGATTTCTGATACCTTTTGAGAATGAGGGGAGGAAACCGAGACTGGGACTTGGTAAGAGTGAAAGCAGACAGTTTGTGCACCAATTGAATCTGGTGGAGAATGAAGAATTCAGATGTATTTTTTACATTCTTTGAGCTTGGCTACCAGCTCTGACAACCTTAATTGGATGGGGATTAGATAAGCTGTATTGGGAGCTTACAGCACTTTTGAATTGGTAATTTATTGCTCTCCTCTTTACCAGAATCCTAAAAAAAAATCACCGCCTGAACTCCTTAACCCTGTAAAGAGCTAACATCTTCAGCTGATGTTCTGTGAGCTGTCCCACTGATGTCACAGAGTAAGCCTGTTATCAGAGGGAACATTTGGGAATAGTTCTTCCAAAGGGATATCTGCATTAAAAAATAACCAACCTCTCTTTGGTTTTGAAAGAAAAAAGCCAAGCCTTTTTCACTGTCCATGCCACTTAAACAGCTCCCCCTGAACATCAGCTTCCTGGGAAGCAGCTGAGCTGGTTCTTCTCTAGGGTTTCCTGGACCTTTCAAAGGCCCCAGACGTGAATTCTCAGGTGAGGAAACCTTGGTCTTAACCTGAAGTGATCACAAAGTTTCCATTAACTTTATCAGGGCCATTCATAAATGAGCCAAACAATGGGGGAAAGAGATGGAAAGAATTTGTATCCATTCCTTTTATCAAGAGGAAATAACCTCTATTATTCTGTGGAACTCTTTTACACAGTTAAATCGACGGAGCTGGAGATAGGAGGGTTAGGACCCCAACCCCAAGTCAGACAAGTTTAAAAATACAGCTTAATTTCAATACTTGTCTGTGAAGAGCTCTCTGCTTTAGCCTAAACAGGACCGATTCCATGGTCCCTTTGAGCTCTTTAAAACATGTTGAGACAACTTGGTTGCCCTGAATTTTAAGCCATTTCTGTCTATGGCCCTGAGGATTTGTTTGTTTGTTTGTTTTCAACCAGGACAAAGAGCTGTGCAGTTTGAGGCAGGGGCAGTGCCTTATTTTGGAGAGGGCTCCCCTCACCAAAGCAGGGCCCCGGCGCTGTGAGGATCACGGATCCCTCGGCGCGTGGTGGAGCAGGAGCAGGTAAGCGCTGCTGCCCTTCCACCAAGGCAGCCAGGGGAACGCCTCGGAGCGAGGCTGAATGTTTTCTGCAGCATCGCCTTGTTCATCCGTGAAATTAGGGAGAGGGAAAGTGCAGAGCAGCTGCCCTTGAGCTAACTGTCAGAAAGGTCCCCTCGGATATTGGGGGGGACTCAGAAAGCCGAGCAGGGACCCCAACAGGGCGATAATTCCTGCTCTGACCCCTGCCAAGGCTCCTGCGCCGTCCTTGGAAGCCCCTTCCCCTTCTGCCCTTGTCCGGGGA